AATACTAATTAAATAATACAATTTCATATTAATATATTATAACTTATAATATATTAGTAGGCCGCACATATACTCGTCTCATAATGTTATCCATATAAATAGTTCGGGTGAAGTGCAACCCAAATGGACCATGCCGTGTCGGGTCAAGTATATACCAAATAAGTTATGGACTTAGACACCTTATCCAACACTTCCATCCTCAGCCTCCATTCCCCTAAACGATCCTTTTGAAACCATAATCCTCATTTGTGTGTTTTTGAGCCTTAAGAGTGCATGGTGTTCACTTTTGAAGTCCCAATTGGAAACACCATACAGGAATAGTAAGTAATAAGGAATGTGCAAACTGTAATTTAAATATTATATTTGATCATAATACAAATCTTATAACTTATCATAATATAAATACTGTAATTGATCAAAATATATGATTGAAAATTTCTTTAAAATCAAGTTTGTGATTATAAATCATAGATTGTTCATTAAATTATATATCAAATCAAATAATATGATTTTAAAGAAATAAAAGAAACCTTATAATTACTAACTAGGATCCTAGTAATCTTGTTCTATAATTATTTTCTTAGTCATCGTGTTAGACTTTTAGTAGGTAAAATATATAACGAGATACGAGATATTTCTTCGAGTCCAAGAACTTCGTGTCGCATGATCTTTTATCTTCCACTAACTTATCTATAAAAAATTCCTTAGTGTAAAAAAAACAACACAATATGATTCTCATTAGTCATTATATTATTAAACAAGTTTCCCATAACATTCACCCTAACTAATGTTTTTTTATTGGTTTTAAAGAAATAGTGCGATCAGCAATTAAATTGATAATACTTATACTATAATCAAGTTTCTCACTCTATATATATGACTTAATCGTTTGAAGATCCGAAACACCTCACGAGGGTTGACATTATAGTTATTGACTGCACTATTTTTTTGACCTCAAGAAGTCAAAGGCCGGCGCCGACCCCACCACCCCTTCCCCACTCTTTCTTTAACCACAAGTCAAACCAGTTTGTTCTTTAATCTTTATTGTACAAAATCTCAACGTTCAATTATTAAATATTCCCAATTCTTGTAAAAACAGGAAAAAAAAAAAGATACAATCGATAAAAATCTTCGATGGAATCAAATCATCGCCTTTGGAAGTTCAATGCCTTGATGCCATATACAAAGACAGCAAAGAACAAGAGTACCCAACCAACATGAGCAAGAGCAACATATCCTAGGAAATCGTGTTCGTATCCTAGGAATTCCTTTAGGTAAACCTTAACCTCCATGTTTCCATGTTTAGGCACATGAACGAGGTTTGTCTTGTCGCCTAGCTGAGATGTTATAAGCCCGTATATTGTCCATGCAACCGGTGATCCCCAATAGTACCATCTCCACCAAATCGGGATTTGCTGCAATGTTTCAAAAAATGTCACTTATCTTTTAGCAATTAACAAATAATAGTACGTAATTGAATATAAATGAAATTAAATTTATAATGATTATGTATTGTTATATTCCATCATGCATGGAATGGAATGAATAAACACCTCTTCCCTTTGAATTCAAAATTGTCAATGGGAAATAATCATGATGTTTGATCTCGTTCGAATTCTGATTAATGTATACCAAACTCTATCTGAGACTTAATTTTTTTTTCTTTTTATTCTCATTAACTGTTGTATGGATAACTGGTTTAAAAAATATTTGAAAATAACAACACACTTGACAAATCGCAGTAAATTTTGTAAACAATTAGGACTTAATGGAGAAATATTCATTTCTATGACTTTTTCTTTTAAATCGTTCTTCCGGTATTATGTCGAAAAAATCTATATATAGCTTAGCAGATTAAAAAATTCCCCATTAAATCCTTAAACTATAAGGTTGCGTTTGTTGCAAAGAACAAACTTTCTAGACTATTTTCGATAATAAGAATGAGCAGGATATTCATTTTTGGCACAAACAAACCTATGTCCCACTTTTTTGGTAGCACAAAGATTTACGAATTTCTGTCTCATTGACATTACTCCCAATGAATGGCAAAAAAAAAAATAAAAAAAAAAGTGTAGCGAAAACTTACTGTTCTTGGAATGAGGAAACCAGAGAACAAATTCCAGAAGCTAAGGAAGAAGGACATGACGATGGCAGCAATCTGGTAACTTGGAGTAAGAGCCACAAGCATCATTCCATACAAAGTGAAGTACACAAAGCACATGAACACGTAATAATAGAACCACAAGAACTTCCCCAAATCCCATTCGAATCCAATCGTGGAGTAAAGAAGAAGACTATAAAGAAATGTTTGGATCCCAACATAAATGGTTTCCACCAAAACTTGAGCAAAAGCATACGGTAATGCTGAGTACATTCCGGCTGCTTTTTCTCGATAAAACACTGTCCGTTCAATCGCGACAACCGATTGAACGGCAGAGGTGTTTGTTCCACCAAGGAACAAAACCGCAGCATACATTGCTCCCATTAGATTGGACAAATCTTGTTGTTTGCTCCTGTTTGAAAACAATAGTTTTTTTTTTGTTATAATGGCGGGAAAACATTAATCTAGTTTGACTTTTCTTCATGGTCAACATATTTGTTAATAGTTTGACTTTAAATATAGTAAAAGTGTAAAACTGAGTCTTACATTATCTCTCCTTTGCCCCAGAAGATAACGCCAAATATAAGACCAATAACTGCCGTCATGAAAAATCTAACAACGTTGTACTGTGGGTTTCGCCAGTACGACCAATGTTGTTTCCAGAAACATGCTTTGAACTGTTCAAAAGACGGCTGTGAAAACTGTGTAGCAAAATGAAGATCATGAGAGTCTTCTGGTGGTGTACTCAACTCTTTGATAAGCTTTTCATTCCTCCTAAAAATCATCCATGGAAAAAAACAGCATAAGTTTTGAGAGATTGTTAATTTAAAGATTAATAAAACATCTGAAAAAAACAAAAATCTTGGTAGGTTTTTATACTTGTAGAGATCAGAATTTGCGAAAATGTCTGCAAAATCGACTCCAAGTTGAGCTTCAACTGCTGTAGAACTGACGTCTAGCATCCATGTTGCTGGGTTGTATCCTTGTTTGATCTTGGAAACTCCATTAATCGACTGAAAAAAATGTAAAAATTTACCCAAATGACCAAAATGGATGTTACCATGTAATAAATAAACCATATTTTTAGCCTTTTAACACAATGATCATCGAAATAGGGTCAATTATGAATTGTGAAATTTCCTTACTGAAGGTACCCATCACAAAACGCTAACAAATTTTACGATTAGAAAAAAAAAATCATATTTCACAAATATACTGCCAAATTATTTGTATTTTGTGAAATTCTTGAATTGATCTAATTGCCACATAGATCTTATTTTGTTAAAAAAAAAAAAAGTTGTTAATTTGTTAAATGGACCTTCTATTTTGTTATTTTTTGTGATTATTCTTAAAGCTAATTAAGAAAAGATGGTTCCTCACTTCAAAATACTCGACAAGAAGGTGCGAATATTGTCCAAGAGGCCCTGCGTATATGACTTGCCCTCCTCTCTTCATCAAGAACAGCTACATAAAGATCAAATTTTTCTCAAGTTTTAAAGTGATAAAAAAAACATTAAATCGTCAAAAAAATCAAAAAGGGTATATGAATCTTACCTCATCAAAAGCTTCAAAAATGTCTATACTCGGTTGATGAATAGTACACACAACAGTCCGGCCAGTGTCCACCGTGTTCCTGACAGCTCTCATGACGATAGCCGCTGCTCTTGCATCTAGACCTGAAGTTGGCTCATCCATGAAGATGATCGAAGGGTTTGCCACAAGCTCCACCGCTATCGTCAGCCTCTTTCTTTGCTCCGTTGATAATCCATCCACCCCCGGAAGTCCGACGAGAGCATATCTTATTGGACCCAACTCCACCAGCTCCATAACTTCCTCCACAAACATCTGAATTTTCCACCGGAAAACACCATCAGTAATCGGAGTCATGAATGGAGTAAGTAATCATATATCGCTGTATATACCTTTCGTGTTGCTTCATCGACATCCGAAGATAATCGGAGCCAAGCAGAATACAAGAGAGATTCATAAACGGTGACATGAGGAGAATGAATGTCGTTTTGTTCACAGTATCCACTAACACGAGCGAAAGTTTCTTGGTTTTTGGGATAACCAGAGATGCTAATACTTCCTTCGATATATCCTCCGGTCTTCCTTCCGGCCAACACATCCATCAACGTCGTTTTTCCGGCACCACTTACGCCGACCAACGCCGTCAGAACCCCCGGTCTGAACGCGCCACTAACATCTCGTAAAAGTTGCAGACGATTCTCCTCTACTCCTTGGCTTTTCATTTCCTGAAAGTCGTAATAAATTACTCAGTTTGACATCAAAAAGGTAAAGTTGTATATATACGCTACTTTTACATTTTACTTACAGCAGGCATATCGACGTAGTAGTTGACATGATCGAATGCAAGAGACAATGGCTTGAAGGGTAACACCATCCCCTTTTTAGATTCGGATTTGGTTGCTAAGGATGCTAACTTCTTCTTCTTGGCATCATCATCGTCTGTAACAGATTTAGAGTCCGCCATGGCTGCATTTTAAGATTCGAAACCAAGATAGTCATATACATACATGGGTCAATTAATCACGAATTTTGAGAGATTGGTGCTTGAAATGTGGTCTTACGAGTCAGAAACGTGAGTGCTAACACAAAGCAAACGTTGAAGACGAGTGAGAATCCGAAGAGTGCAAGAACACAAATCCAGTACCAATGGCCTTCAGTGAACATTCCTCTGGCTTTTAGAAGTTCTTTCCCGACTGTGGATTCTCGATACATTGTGTCGAAGTTTGGCTGTATATATACAATATCATTGATCGAACAAATTCAAAATACAAATATTCAAATAGAATCGAAATCGATATGTATTGCTATCTAAACTTACAGCGCTCCATCGTTTATCGAGAAACTCAACAAGAACGATTGCGTTTTGTCCATATGACATGGGAGATAGGTAATATGCCCATTTCATCCATGGTTGAAGGTCATCTATAACATGAACAAAAGATCACATTAGTACGGAATTAAGATGGTTATTTGATTTGTATATATCCCTTGTTAACTACAAACCTTTCGCGATAATGAATCCACCAAGAACAAAAACGAGCAACAGAGTGAAAGTGCCGAGAGTGTTCGCCACAACCTGTGTTCTTCCAAGTGCAGCAATGAATCGAAATAGACCTAACGCCATTTGATGTATACCCAAGTACGCCAACAGTTGTCGGAAAAAACTGAAACATCACAATGGAAAAACGAAAATGGTTCAAATTATCGAGTGAAAAAAACTGGGTCTTTATATCATTTGATCCAAAAGAAGTCTTGTAAATCATTGACGTAAGAATTTAATCCTAGAAGAAAAGAAATGCATACCAACTAGCAGAAGGAGCAAACCCGATAGTGTAATAAGTAAGAAGAATCCAAATTCCTGATTCCATAAGTGAAAGAGGAAGTCTCAGGAGCCAAATCGGAAGAGCAAAAGCCCAAGCAGGATAAAACAACGAATCCCTTTGTTTATAGAACACCGGTAGCCGGAAAATCGTCAAAGCAAGCTCAGCCATCCCGTTAAACATAACGTTAATCAGACTGAAAAACAACGCCCCATAATACTTTCCACCATCATCGATGTCACCATGCTTCATCGTTGTTCGAAAAAACATGGTGAAGGTGAACAAAGCCATGATTGTGATTTGGGTAGTCTTGAAGATATACACAAAAGCATTTCTTTTCATCAGAAGCCATTCTCTCGATAAACACGCCTTGAAGAGTTCTTGATTCGATATCCCGTATTTGTTTGTCACGAGAGCGGCTGGATGAGCTTTAGATTTGTCATAAGGGACATGAAGAACAGCTGAGATCTTTAAACCGGTGTGAAAGTTTCGGAAAAAATGAACGAAATCGTCTACAGAAACGTATCTGTAAGCTATACTTTTGTTGAACCAGTATTGTTCTTGATCTTTTCTTGATGTGACTTCTTGTAAGAAGTCTGCAACGCCTTTTCTTTCTGGGCATTTGAATCCAACGTGTTCAAAGAACTCAAGAACGTTCTTTCTTGGGCCTTGGTACACGACTTGACCTTCTGAAAGAAGGATTATGTCATCAAAGAGTTCGAAAGTCTCAGGTGCGGGTTGTAGGAGGGAAATTATCATAGTAATGTCCATGATGTGAACCATTTGTCTCATATACTTTACGATTTGGAATGTTGTGGAACTATCGAGACCAGTTGAAATCTCGTCCATGAGAAAAACCTTTGTGGGTCCCACGAGCATTTCACCGGTTGTAACTCGTTTCTTCTGGCCACCGGATATGCCTCGTCTCATCTCGTCTCCGACCATCGTGTCTGAACAAATATCTAACCCGAGTAGCTACAGTAGCATAACACTCTTGGTTAGTTTTCAGACTTAACTTATTGATTTTATTGATTGTAGAGTTGTATAATACAACTCTACAATTTGTTAAAACAGGGTTGTAAATAATATTCTACAACCCTGCTGATGTAACAATCAAGAAAGGAAAAAACGTACCCTAAGAACATACTCGGTGACCAAGCTAGATTCTTGTCCGGAAACTGCAATGGATTTCATGAATGCATCAAGTTCAGCATCCGGTTTGATTCCTTCGGCTTTTTCTCGTCTCGACAATTCTGCTAACATCTCGTATCGTGTCCCGACTCCCAAGCAACGTCCCGAAAAATCCATGGTCTCTCTCACGGTCATTTCACCGTTGTGTAGATCATGTTGGCTAATGTAAGAGCAAGTTCTTTGAGGGACAAATTCGTCCATTTCGTGACCACAATATGTCACCTTCCCAGTTACCCGCATATCACTTTCGAGCTTTCCCGCAAGTGCTTTCAACAATGTGGTCTTTCCTGACCCGGGAGGTCCTAGAAGTAGAGTCATTCTAAAAAGAATACCGATTTCGTCAAGAACTATAAAGATTGGAAGTGAAAACATAAGCTAGAATTGTAGAGATTTACATGATTTTTTTTACCTAGATGGTGTGACGATTCCTGATACTTGATGAAGGATCTTGACTACCCTTTTCTTATTCGGGAAAAGTCGCATGAAACCGAGTACATCCTAAAAGCATGATAAAAATAATAAGATCAAAAAATTTCAAAAAAAGAGTTATTTTTTGGACAGCCCTTAAGTTGGTCCACAGATGCTGACGAGCATCATGAAATATTTAGATACACAAGAGTCTAGTAGATGGTCATGGGTGACATAAATATCATGGCCCATAAAAAGTTCAATCCACAATGGAATTGAAATTATCAATTTGCATTTGTCTAAGACTACAACTCTCCACTATTTTTGTGTATACCATCACTATAACCAAGTGCACTATACCCATGGAGACAAGATCAATAAATTTAAGAAGCTAGTCAACATATTAGAACTTTTCAATAACTTAAAAAACTTGCCTCGATCGAATTGATGGTAGAATTAAGCAGAGTTGGAAGTGCTCTACTTCCAACAAACGCATCCCCTTCAATCGACAACTCCTCATATCTAATTTCAATCCTCGGAACCTCAATTCCAACTCTATCAATACGATCTCGGAGTCGTTCAAGAAGTCGTTCATTGTCATTATCGATTCTTTCTTGTATATTCTTCATCAAATTCTGTCTCTCTTCGGGTCCAAGATTTGCAACATCAATCTCTTCACGGACAACTTTCCCATCATCAAGAACTTGAGTCAAGAATCCTTTTCTTAATCGATCATATGTTGGAAGCCTTTCAATGGCAGCCCACATGAGTTCATCTTCATCATCTTCTCTCCCACTTTTCTGGAAAACATCGGGACCTGGTGTAGTGAATACTTCCCTGATACTAGCTGCACCCCAACCCCTGGTGCTTCTTGATGCTAGACTTCCTCTTCGGCTTATGTTCCGGCTCATGTTTCGGCTCATGTTCCTGCTCATGGACCTCATTAAGTCATCACCAGCTAATGCAGAAGCCATTTCTAGAACCCCAGATGGAAATACTCAAAAGAATTATATGAACATGGGGAATGTTGATTGGATTTGTGGAGGGAATGTGTGTGTGTCTGTTGTTTCTTGATTTGGTTTTTTTTATAGGTAAATGGATATTATTAGGAAGACAAAAGTTAGCATATAAAGTAATCTATCGAAATTCTAGTTTTTGTCATGTTACGAGGGGTTCGTTTTTTCTTATTTTGTATGTTCAAGTCTCATAACATACATTTATTTCTTTACTTTTCTATAGTTACTAATTTTATTTTATTTTACATACTAAGACCTAAGTGACATGCTTAGGTTATTGGATACTCAAGTTAAATGTTTTGCTTCATAACATATATTTATTTCTTTACTTTTCTATAGTTACTAATTTTATTTTTTTACATACCAAGACCTAAGTGACATGCTTAGGTTATTGGATACTCAAGTTAAATGTTTTGCTTCGTAATATATATTTATTTCTTTACTTTTCTATAGTTAATAATTTTATTTTTTTACATACTAATACCCAGTGTTGCAGAAATCGGCCTTGGTGGCCGATTAATCGGCGATTAATCGTTTGGCGGCCTCGAACCGATTACGATTAAGGTACTTGGCGGAAATTGGTCAAAATCGGTCAAACTCGGGCTTGGCGGTCCTCGGCGGTCATAGGCGGGAAATATTTAAAAAATTCAAAAAAAATAATTTTCAAATATTACATCAAAATTTTAAAATTTTAAGCTTTCAAATTTTAAAATATTATACTAAAATTTTTAAAATTTCAAAATTTT